ATCTGATGAGTTGTGATTCAAAGTTTTTAGGAGGCAGGATCGCAGTATCCTGAACCCAAGGTAGGAGATGACAGGTGTTCTATAGTAGTGAAAGGGTTATGAACAAAAGAGAAATCACCACTTCGGAGGGCAGTAGAAGTAAAGCCCTTCGGAAGATTTCTCAGTGAAAGCTACTAGATCTAGGAGGTGGAGGACAAAAACATAGAGAAAACTGTGCAAAAATCATGGATAGAGATTTTGCTGATTATGGGCAGGGACTTTCAGAGGTTTAGAGGAGTAGGATTTGCAATTTAGGGGAATTAAAAAAAAAGAGGGGAAGTAGGAGATATGAAGAGTCCTGATGACTTAAAAATCATCTCTCTGTTAATTCTATTTGCTAACTTAAATTCTAAAGTGGACCACTAGAATAACATAAACAAGGCAAGCCAAAAGGAAACAAGTTTTTCCCAGGGTTGTAGCATGCATTTCTCTTCATCACTAGTCTTTCTATTTAATTTTGGCAGTTGGTTAACATAACCAACTATTGAATAACATATTCAATAGATAATATATATTGAGAGCCTCCTATAATTCAGACTATATGTTATAGAATGAAGTAGACAAAACAATTTTTATCTTAAAATTAAAACTAAACTTAAACTAGAACTCAATCTTAAAACTTGGGAGTTCAAATTGGTGCTTGTACAACCCTGGAGTATGTATATGCAGTTGCTCATGGCAGTCTGTCCTTTACTGGCCCTAAGAAGTGTGATAAATGTGGTTTAGCAATGGGAACTTTGTCTTCCTCTGACGTGTCATAGACTGTGAAAGAACAGCTGCTACGAGCTCCACGTCAACTTCACAAGTCGCATCACTGAGGGCACAATATTGTACCCAACCAAGGCCATGGCTGGATTGCTTGACCTTTTGTCAGTGTGTAAAGCCTGTGTTTTGATTATGTCACTATGACAGCACAACTAGAAAAAAAATGTATTAAAAGGAATATTCTCACTTTTATGCAAGTGCCATGCAAAATGAAATGTGACAATACTGGCTTTAAAATTTTAAATGTTTTAAATGAAGTTCCTCAATATTATTGCAATGGTAATACCATAAATTGATTTCATTTCTCAAAACAATGCCAGTCAATTTAGTTCTAAAATTCTTGTATTAAGAGTCTGTTCTGTGCCAGATTCTATATTGGATTTGATGAAAAGGAGGTAAATACTGCACTTTTTTTTCCTACAGGAGCTTCCAGGGTTTTTTAAAACTACTCAAAAATATATTTTATGTACTATTATAGTTTTCACACTAGAGAAACTATTCGGTATTTACACATATAACTGCACTGTATACTTAAAATGTACCAATAAACTCAATGAGGAAAAATATATATATATACTTTAAGAATTTTAAAGACAACTGTATTTAATATCTCAAAAACTCTGTATCTAGAATCTAGCAAATGAATGTAACATGTATGTACAATTATTTCCATTCCAGAATTATATATAAAATTTAAATACTTGGAATCACAGTATACACTTTAGAATACTATACTAAATTCAAAAAAATACAGTCATTTAAAAATCCAATTACAACAAATGCTAATGGTAGTAGAAATATTTATAATAAATTATTGTCGGAAAAAACATCTAGTTTCAGTATTATACAAACTTATGTATTAAATGTGGAAGGATAAAAAGAAATAAGGTAACACATTAGTGATTGCAATAATTAAGGCATTTCAGTTTTTTATATATTCCTTGTCTTTTTTTAAAAAAAGATAATTGCTATAAAATACTTTTGTTGTCACAGAAGACATATTTTAACATATATAGATGAGGCACTTTTTTCATGTGTCATTTTATACTAATTTGCTCATTTTTATTATACTGATGTATCATTTTGCAAGACTTCAGTGAAACAATTATATCTGGGGCTAAGTGAAGTCTGAATCATTAATAAGTCTATGCTAAATACTCTTCTCAGAAAAACCTCCCTTTGATTGTGAGCTTCAACACTAGAGGAAAATAATTGCACTGATACCTAATATCTAAAGGCCTCCTTCACATTTTAGTAAATAAGCATTTTGGTATTTCTTACATACATTAGCTTCTGAGACAGCTCCATAGGTAAGAGCTGAAAACCTGCAGGCACTCTCTGGAGTGGTCCTTACCAACTCAAATAGATTTATCACAACCCATTTCATTTCCATCTAATGACTTGCACATTTAAAAATTATATAGACATAAATTGTTCTTTGAGAATGATGAATACTTGTTAAAGTGTGTGCTAAGAATAATGTTAGAATTGATATTTTAGCATTGGAAAGTGAAGAAAAAAAAACCAGACCATTTCAATTACTGTTCCAATAATAGATTAATAATAATGTGTCATGTTTCAAAGATCAGGGCATCACAATTTTTGTAGTTAGTAAATGGAACATGAGGGCTGCTGTGTCTGTGTTATGTTTTCTTGCTCAGTGACCTAGACATTTGCGGCTTTAATTTACTCATCCATAGAATGAGGATTTATAACCTGCAGAGTTGTGATAGGGACAAGTGTCTGGTATACTTTCAGAATTCAATAAACAGTAACGTGATCTTAAAGAGTTTAGAAGTTTAATATTGAAGCTATCATATAAAATGTTCCATGTTAAAATATTCACATTACCCTACTGAACCATGATCAATTTACTCTACAAGTATTCACAAGGGAACTACTACTAGATCTTTTTCAGACAATTTTCATCCAAGTAAGATATGATGAAGACACATAAAATATGCTCCTTTTATAATATTGAAGCACAGAGGCACCATGGACAGCTATAAGCCTCATGGCTTAAATCTCTACCATGAGAAGTATAGGAAAATTTATGCTAAAATTGAACAATTGGCAGGATTTTTCTCCCTATTGACCATCATATTTTTGACCCCCTTCTACTAAGTATGCTTATAAAGTTTTGGTTTTGATAAATTTCACATTTTAGTGTGCACTTTTGATGTATCATATTTAAACAATTTTGGTTAAGTGCTGTAAATCCTTACCATGAAGCTATGGTACTTACAATGCAGTAAGAAGAATCTTACTCCATAGAATTGATATTTCTCTTCTCAGAGGTTACTTAATATGATATCTGCCTTAAAAAATGGAGTAATGATAGAAGTTTTAAAAAATGTATAAACTGTGTTCATTTGCAATGAATAAAGTTTTTTAAAAAATAATGGCACTTGTGTATTTTTTTCTTCCTGAAAGCACCTTTCATTTTTTATTTCTTTCAAACAGTGTAAGATTAAATTTAATCTAATCACACTGTCCTTTCACTCAAATGAATCTCTTCTCATGTTTTCAAGCTTTAGCTCCAGTCAGAACCTTACAGATAAAGTAGTGTTCGTCACTTTTATTCCCAGAATTTAGCACTGTGCTTTTTCACAGTGAGTATCCATTTATTGTTTTTGACTATGAACTCATGAGACCAATAAATGAACTGCCGGAGTAACAGAATCCTATGACAGCCCTTTTACAAGTACAAACTATTACTTAGAAGATGGTAAAATCTGCTCTCAAGACTAGCACACAAATTAATCTAATATGGACAAGGATTCCCACTAAAGATTTTAGCTTTCCAATAACACGATAAAAGTATGTTATAAAAATATACATATGTATGTAAAACTTGGTTTAATAAAAATGATTTTCTTTTAGTTGATGTAGTGTTTTAGATAAGCTTTTGGTGTCGTTAAATCTAAATCAAAGGTTTAGCAACTTCCAGTTTCAAAAGCACAATGTATCATTGATCTGGGAGAATTTAGGTAGGTGGTAGAAACCAGTAAAAAAGGCCACTCACTTTCTTTTCAAGGCCTTTCTAAAACCACTAGATTGATTAATATAAAAACTTCCTGTCATATTGTTTTTGTTCAGATTTAATGAAGTCCGGATCACAATGATGAAAAGGGGACTTTGAGGGACAATGAAAGTCAAATATTTTAGAATTTCAATAGATAAAAATTAATACTTCTGAAAAGAAATGTGAAATAAATTTTATTCACCTTTTTTTCACAGAAGGTAGGATTATAGCAGTTCAACCTATCCATTTAAAGATTACAGTATAATCTATACATATGGACAAGAAAAAAGTAAAAGAAGGACATGAGTCACATTACAACTGATGATTATATGAAAAATGGCAAGTAGTTTCTTTTAAAAGCTATCAGAAAGATCAAATGCAAGTATCATACTTATTAAAAATACTTAAAATATATTTGAATAGCTTTTTATTGTAGAATGTAAGCTCATAAGAGTTCATTAAAGAAAAATATTCACCTATTAGGCTATAACGTAGCTAACACACACACACACACACACACACACACACACGCGCACACGCTACCTAAATAAAGCAAAAACCGGACTATTTTCAGGAAACCATGATTCCCACTGCTTCCCTCTAATAAGTAATGATAGGTAGTCATCTGAATATTATGCTTTTCTCCTTACATTCCCAGTCATTGGAAGGCTATGTATTGTTTTGTCCTACTGTTTAAGTTTATATGAATGGAATCATGCTTATACACGTACGTTTTGCCTTTCATCTTTTGGTCACACTATGCATTATGTTCCTGTGATGCATTCATAGTTATTTTGTATAACTGTAGGCCATTAATTTTCAATTTATAAAGTATTTCATTATATTTGATTAATTTCATGAATATTGTATTACTATGCCACTATTTACTTATTCATACTAATATTGGTCAATATTTATATTAGTGTAAAATATTGGCAATTATGAATAATGATAATTTTGACAGTCACACACACAGCTCTCATAGAGCACATACACCCATGTCATTGTTGAGTACTGACAATAAGTTCCTTGAAAAACCCTAGTAAGGCCCCTCTGAGTCCTTCTTTCATTGACACTTTTACCTTAACATCTGTCCTGTCTTCTAACTGCCTAACTGCATCATAATTAGAATCCTGCTAACTCAGGTTCCTGAGAATCCTCTGACAATTACCTTGGTTGGCCCAGTCCTTGGCTTGCTTTTACCAGCAATCCTGGTAGGTCAGTTAAGCAAGAACCTTGATGTCTCCTCTTGATAACTTTCTATCCTCTGACCCTCTCACTCTGCTTCTTGGGTATAAATGCCCAACTTGCCTTGCTGTTTTAGAGTTGAGCTCAATCTCTTTCCATTTATTGTACTTCCTACTATAATAGTCCTGAATATCTTTTCTTGTTTTATGATATTCCTGCATATTCATTCTTGTTTTAACAAGTATGAAAACTTTTTCTTTTATAGTATGCACTGTGGAACAAATTACTTAATCATAGGGTATATTCAGATTCAATTTAATCAATATTTCCTATTTTCTATAATGAGAATATAAATTAACATATTTAACATTACTATATGAGAATTTCCAACATTGTTCATGTGTGCTATTAATTTCAGTCATTGGCTGTTTGGTTGCTGAATTTTAGTCAACTTTATTGCTTAATTTGTATTTTCTTGGTTACTTATAAGATTATCCACATTTCCATCTGTATACTGACTTACTCATTTTAATATCCTCTTTATGTCTATATATACAGTATATGCTTATGCCCATTTATGAGTTGTAGACTATATTATCATGAATTTTATATTTTTCTTATAAAAATTGTTTCTACATATTCTGCAAATTGAACTTTATTTTATATGTGTTACAAATGTATTTTTTAACTCTTTAATGTTGAATTTCAGGGAAGAAGAACTTGTTTAATGCCATTCTGGTAATAACTTTTTCCTCTCACTTTTTAAAAACTCACAAACACTTCTTTCTAATTGCCTCTAGTTAGTTCTGATGCACATGCACGTGTGTGTGTGTGTGTGTGTGTGTGTGTGTGTTATCATATATTTAATCTCTGGGGAAGTTAATTTTTTGGACATGATATGCAGTGGAACTCAAGAGTATTTTGTTCTCCTTTGTGATGAGATTCTCTGGCCCCACTCCATTTGCAAAAGGACTGCCTTGTCTTATCTCATAAACCAAGCATTCACGCACACACGAGTGCATTTGAAGGTTCTCTGTTTTTTCACATACTCTCATCTATCCTCACATCAGAGTCATGTGCTTAATACTTTGCCTTATATTTGGCAGCACAAGTCCCCCCACATTCTTCAAGGGTACATTGCCTATATTTAGATCTTTGCATTTCTATGTGGATTTTAGAAATAGCCTGCCAATTTCCATTTAAACATTGTCACTTAAATTGGGATTTTATTAAATATGTAGACAATTGGAGATGGTGTGACATTTTTGCAGTGTTGGATCATACAATGCAAAAACATGCTATATATCTTAAATTATTAAAGATATTAAATTCTTAAGATTGTTACAAAATTTTCTGACATTCTGTGGATCTTTTGTTGGACATATATCTAGAAAAACTCTAATTTCATTAAGCTCAATACTTATGTATGATAAATTGATAAGAAATAATGAATATTGAAACTAGTGCCTAGGAGAAATACAGGGTGAGGTTCCTGTGATCCTCTAGCTATGACATTTTTGTCAACTTATTGCTCCTTTACTTGTATAATATATACTTTTGTTTAAAGATACCTTATTTAATATATAAGGTGGATTATTTAATATTGAACTCACAGACAGCATTATGAGTAATCCAATCCATTCCTCTTCTCTGTAAGATGTGTCACAGCCTCTTGTGCTTAGTTCACCAGACAACATGCTAGTGATTTACTTGGGGGCCACTTTAAACCAAGACATCATCAACAAAAACCATAAAGAGGACCAGGACTTAGCTCAGTGATTCCGCTGCTTGCCTCACAAGCGCAAGGTCTGGAGTTCGATCCCCAGTAACAAAAAAAAAAAAAAAAAAAAAAAAAAAAAAAAAAAAATCCCACAAAAAATGTTTTTAACATCATATTAAACAGACTACAAAAGGGATAATTCTGGAAGAGGAAGGCACCTGAGAAACTGTGCATTCAATTATTTAAAGTATTCATTGTTCTACACCTGTCTACGAATGACTGAAAAATAACCACAAGTACTCACAATGGAGTTACACATCTGTAAGTAAATAAGTAAGTCAGTAAATAAATAAATAAATGCAGTATCCACAAATTGTGAAAATGGACTCGGATATTCCTGATAATTTTACATGTATATAAAATGTCTTCTTGTTTTTCCTGTGTAAGTCCTATTTGTAGAAACACGATTGTTTAGCATAATGTTGAGTGTAGACAGCTAACTCTGAAACTCACTTATTATTCTCAATTTATATGTAGATTTTAAATTTTGCATAAATATAATTTTGTTGTCTGTGAGCCTAACTCCTACTGTGTTGTTTGGAGTAGAACTAAGGGTGATTATAAAGTATATAACCCTATGGAATTTATAATTCAGCTGCAATTTAATTATTTGGCCTGAAAATGGCTCAAGTTGATACTTATTGCTAGTTCCTTAGGCACTCAGTAGAACTAATAGAATATCAGCTCTGAAGGGAGAGAACAACATACTTAACCTTCAATCCTTTCTGCAAATATAATTTGATACTATCAGACAAACGTCAAAAGGACAGACACCTAATGGATCCTAATGGTAGAATTGACAATGTGAAATGGGAAGAAAAGGGCTAAAGGTATAGGGGAAATGGAAAGGGTAGGGGAAAGGAAATAATGGGAAAGAAAAAAAAACATGAAAAATGGAAATAAAGTATTTGTGCACAGGGAAGGGAGGAGGGTGTGAACGGAAGGCAGGGATAAGGGAAAGAATGAGAACCAAGACCTGTCATGTAAAGGTACAAGATCCCAGTGATGAATGTAACTGTACTGTACACCTAAAATGTACTAATAAACTCAATGAGCGAAAAAAAAAAAGGACCAGACATGTAACACAGGACAACATAAAGGAGAAACAGCAGAAGCAGCAGGTAATAGAAATAGAACCACCTGTGTTCCAAAATTTGGAATTTGGAGGTAGTTTTGAAATGCTTGAAATGCTTAATGAAACAAAACAAATGAACACAGTTGGAAAATAACTAGAAATTATAGAAAGAGGACTTAGTTTTTTAACATACTAAACGTTTTAAAAAATCAAAATTCTATGAATGGAAAATACATAGAATTGAAAAAGGAGCCATTTAAGTAGTAGGCAAAGTCAAAGAAAATTCATAGAACGGAGCAGAGACAAGGGGGAAAAATGAGAACCAAGACCCGTCGTGTAAAGGTACAAGATCCCAACAATGAATGTAACTGTACTGTATTCCTAAAGTGTACCAATAAACTCAATGAGGGGGAAGAAAGGAGATGGAAAGAAAGAACATAGAATTCATGCAGGATTTTGTAGAAAAGTTTAACGTACATTTAATGGGGTCCTGGATGAAAAGAGGAGAGTATAGTGAAAATATAGGGAAAATATTTTATTTATTCAGAGCTGCTGAGTATTTCCCAAAGCTAAGAAAGGATATGCATTTGCAGACTATATAAGCATTTTGATAGATAAATATATTTACCTGTTCTTCAGTAATTAAAAAATCATAGATTGCTTTATTACTATTGCATCCCTCCAGATGTATATGTATTTTTGTTCAGTATTGTAGTGTTCCCTTTAAAATCCTAAAAATTAGTCATTACTATGTTTTGTATAATTGTTGTTTGCTTAGCTCTTCACATGTTTATTTCCTTTAATCATCTATTTATCTTTCATTTTAGGACAAATGCAAAGAGCACCTCCTTTTTCAAATTAAGAAAACCAAGAAGACACATTCTGGGGAAGCAGTATGTCCATTACATTCATGTCCAAATGCATAATTCTGGGCAGATGCTGCTATATTGCACATACCTTGATAAATAAAGAAATATGAGAAGGCATCAAGTTAAATACAATGAACATTTAATGATGTTTTACCTACAAATAAGAGGTAATAGATATAAATTCAATATCGCATAAGACAGTCATTTCATGAGTTCATGTGTTTACTTAGGATATATTTCTCTCCATCTTCTAAAAAACCTTATAGTCATTTAGAGATAGAAAATAAATTTTCAAGATAGAAAACAAAACAGTTATTTTGAAAAATCAAAACTATGTATCTCATGAAGCTGATCAATTTAATAAGGCATTTAAGCAAATATGTGGACATAAAGTGTCCTGAAATTCATAGAAAAATGTAAAACATCAGTGTACATGCTTCAAGAGAAAGCATGAAAATACATCATGGAGAGGATGAGAGCAGATTAGAAGATGTAATGGAGAGTTGTGAATGAATTATTTGATTTGCAGCCAAAGGCAAATCGGTGCTTCCTCGTTGACATTATTTGAGCTAGGAGAGGCACGGAGTTAGGGGAGAGGACGACATCACTCCAGGTGATTTGCTTCCATCACTAAACTTCTCCATACTCTTCCATTTATTCAAGTTTCAGCATAGGGGTACACTAGCCATAAAACAGAGGCTCTGGGAAGCAAAAATATGTGTTTCTGACATGAAGCAAGAGATGTGAAGCATCTTTTTCCTGGGGAGAGGATGCTTGTGGATTATACTGTGCTAATGCTGAACAGAAGTTTCTGAGTTACATATCTGACCTCTGTTCTTTAATACATATATGCACTTGTGCATATGTGATACACATCACTCTCTAAAGAGCCAGGACGTCATGTACCCAGTCTAACACCAATGCGCTCAGACTGTAAAAAATACCACTGGAAGAAGTAGGTCAGCCTTAGTTTAAGCACTAAACCAGGAGTAGGTGATAGTCATGAGGGGAAATACCACATTCTTCCCTGGCATTGGAATGAATAATTTATATCTACAATTAACATGTGTCCATGAAAATATTTAAAATTTCCAGTTCAGCTACACATATAGGTTAACTTGTATTCTCAATCAGGATCATGGACCGTCTTCTGCGGTTCACACTGAACTGGATCATCTTCTTTCCAGGAGTGTAAGTGGAACGGGAACCTGCAGATCTGCAAATCAGACTGGAAGCTGTGGCCAAGCCCAGGGCATCAGGGCAAGGACTGGTCCTACGAGGAGGGGGTGGGGTCTTATCAGATGGAGACCGGAGATGGTGGCAAATAGCTTCCTCTTTGTGTTACATGTGCTCAATTCAAAGTTTTTCAGCTTTCTTCTAAGGGCTAGACAAATCTACATCCTAGAAAGTTCGGGAGTAAAGATGTACTATATCCAGAAATCCTGGTGGGCCTGCATTCCTACTAGGGTAGATTTAGGGCAGCTCAGGTTTTAAAGCCACTCCTTCAAAATTTTCTAGTGTTAGAAAGGCTTTTCTTCCCCACATATCTCTGAATAACACTATCATGCACTCTTACCACACCATGATCTAGATTAGGAGCTGTATTCTAATTCTACTATATTTCCAACACTGCAACTTTTACATTGCAGGCATGAGTGTATTCCATTTTTCCCAGACCTAGGGGACAAACCTTTAAATTTTACCTTTTTAAAATTTAAAAACATTAATTTTATAGGACAAGTATCACAAGACTTCCAGCTGTATTTTATTTTATTTTTTAATTGAGTTAATTGGTACATTTTAGGTATACAGTTCAGTTACATTCATCATTGGGATCTTGTACCTTTACATGACAGGTCTTGGTTCTCATTTTTTCCCCTTGTCCCTGACCTCCCTTCACCCCCTCCTCCCCTCCCCATTTACAAACACTTTATTTCCATTTTTCATTTTCTCATATTTTTTTCTTTTCCCTACCCTTCCCACTTTCCCTACACCTTTAGCACTTTTCTTCCTATTTCAATTGTCAATTATCTCATTAGGATCTCATGTACTATTATAGCTTTTCACACCAGAGAGACTATTGGATATTTACACATGTGTGACTTATTTATTTCACTTAGGAGTATATCCTCAATATGTATCCATTTACTTATGAATGAATCTAATTTCTCATTCTTTATGGCTGAATAGTATTCCATTTTATAGAAAAACCACATCTTCTTTATCCTGTCTCCAACTGATGGTCAAATGGGCTGTTTCCAAGGTTTAGCTATTACAAACTGTGCCGCTGTAAACATAGGTGCACATATATCACTATGGTATGATTCTTTTAATTCTTTTGGAAAGATACCCAACAGAGGGATGGCTGGGTCAAATGGAACCTGTAGTCCCAGTTCTTTGAGGTATCTCCATATTGATTTTCATAGTGGTTGCACCAGTCTGCACTCCCACCAACAATGGAGAAGGGTTCTTTCCTCCCCATAACCCCGCCAACATTTGTTATTGGTTGATTTCTTGATAGCAGCCATTCTTTGTGGAGTGAGGTGGAATCTCAATGTTGTTTTCATCTGCATCTCTCAAATGACCCCTGAGTAGGAAGAATCAACATAGTGAAAATGGCCATACTATTTTTTATTTCTTTATTGTGCCAATAGCCTCAAAAGGTGGAAGTGAGCCAAAATCCTGCTAAATCTCTGAGAAATTCTTGGCTATGAAGTAACTGAGTAAATTTCCTCAACAATGATAATTATACTACAGTGTAACAGAATATTTTGCAAAGGCCTAAATTATGCCTTACAGACCAGTCCCACACCCATGGAATACAAAGATTTTATCTTTAGGACTGAGGTGGACTTTGAAAAGTTTCCCCAGTCTTTGCTCCATGAGAATTGAGAAGCATGGGCCTTATGTTTCTTAAACTCCTACTTCCTGTAGGACACGGCAAAGCCCTTTGAACATGCTTTCTCTGTAGTTCAGTAAAATGTGATCATCACCTTGTTATGCTGACCTGTACAACCTGAGGTATCTGGCTTCTGGCTTCTATCATTCATTTATTTATTTATGTTTGCCATTTTCTACTAGCTGACTCCTGACCAGACCACCTAACCTTCAGTTCGTTATTTCTATTTTCCAAATTCCAGGCATCTGTACACATTTCCCGTGCCAAGGAGATTTGCTGGTCTGTTAGACAAAGGTACTACTACTTTCTCATTCAGATCTTAGTGCAAATATCTCCTCCTCAATTAGGTCTCCATGATATCCTCCTCAAATTCCTTCCCGTAGTCATACTGCTTTCTTGAATCTGTTTAGAATAATTGCCATTTAAAAAATTATATGGATTAATTATATGTATACTCTTGTACATCCTGTTATAAGGAATCAACAAGCACTCACTTGATTATTTCTCTTATATCCTTATTAGGGAAAAAAGATTGATGGGACATAATAGGTGCTCAATAAATATTTGTCAAATAGAAATTGAACATGCAAGCATTAAAATATTCTTGTTTTCTTGCACCTTTGTCTTTTTCACATTTATTCCTCTGTGTTGTAACTATGGTTGCTTTATTCTTTTTTTAAATTTAATGTATTCAGCAGGTGGAACATTTATGTTCTATTTAGCAAAGTTAGGGAACATTACCATGGATTTCTTCCCTAATACTATTATTTCTGCAACTTGTCAAATAGAACCCAGGTGCCGCTGAGGCTGGAGTCACCTGAAACATTGATAGAGAAGGAAACGTTACTGCCACCTGGGAGCTGGTTTTCCTAAAAATCACTGAAAGAAAAGAAAAGTAATGCTCTCTTCTTCACGACTATTCTCTCATCTCATTTTAATTCATGAACTGTTAAGCATTCAGCTTAAGCCAAGGTTGAACATCTTATTGATTCGCTCAGAACTATTCATGAAGATCATTTGTACTCACACAGTATGTTAGTGACTGGTGTTATTAGGTGAAAATGGAACCTAGCTGAAAAGAGAAAAAGTAGACACATATTGGGGAGCAATTACCATATAAATAGACGTTAACTATCTAAGAGAGTTCTCCAACATAAAATAAGTGAAACAGGTCTTTGGAGTTGTTATTTCTGAGATTTCAAGTTGAAATGCTATTTCAACTCTCATTTTTTTTTTTCTGTATTAGCAGAGGAAGAAAATTCTAAATGTAAGGTTAAACCTTGCAAATGCCCAAGCTGTCACTACTAAGAATCTATATGAACATATCATCCAGTTACAGCATGTGAAATACTCAGAAATTTTATGTGGAAATTAAAATAGCTTATCAACAACATTAAATAATATAAAACATATGTTATGAAGGTTTAATAAATTTTAGGAATTAAAAATGCTCAGGGTTATGTTTCTGTCCATTTAAAAAATGTGTAGAGTAGTTCCCCAAAACCAATTCGAAATGAAGTAGTGATATTTTCAAGAGAAATAAAAAACATGTGAGAAAATAAACTGTTTTGGATCGAATACCTTAAGGAAAATGAAATATGGAATTACTTTGAAGTTAATTTAATATGTAGCTTAAGATACAAATTATTATTTTAATTTTTTTTCTTTAAAAGTGAAAGTTATCACAGGAATATAATTTTTAAAAAAGAACATATATATTGCACTTGTTATTGTTATGTGAATATTTAAATTGACTTTTTATAATCCTCCCAAAACTAAATTAAAGCTATATAACTGTGAACCACCTAATGGGAATAAAAATATAAAATTAGGAAATATTTTTCTTTAGTTCCAATTTCTGTTATTTATATTTTTAAAATCCCAAAACTTTAACTTGTTTGAAATACTACATGTTTTGTTTTGTTTTTGACTGCAAAAGACCATGATCATTTGGATATGAATAGTGCTTTGCATTTCACCAACCAATTTAACATATGTGGAACTGATAATAACTCTGCTAAAGCTCGAGCCTCGTGTGTAATTTAGCTGCAGTTGAAAGTTAAGTAACAGGCATTCTGTGACTCAGAGCTGATTTGGCAGCCTACAACTCTTGTATTACACCTCGTATACTGAACTGCCTCTGAAATAACGATATCATGGTTAAATTTTTTTAAGAAAATGATTCTTTCCTGCAAGTACATATGTTGTCAAATGTTATTTCCAGTTTGTATGCCTAGTAGAGATAATACTTTTTAGTCTAATATTTTACAATAATCATCACAGGGATTGCATTATCTTCCAGCAGGACTTTTTGAGTTTATAATTCGCTATTATGTAAGGGGCTCACTTAGCTATAAGTAAATGTATGACTTAGTCATTTTCTGCAATATCTCATCCTAAACAAATTCACATAAAAATTTCCCTTCCTACCACTCACTCAAAGCTGAAGCTTTCTGGAGAATCTGTTATCATATTGTTTGGAAATTTAAGCAAGTGTGAGATGATGTGTCCTCAGCAACAGTCCCCACACCCAGTCAGGTGATTCTGACCTCTAAAAATTTCAGTCTTTCTGAATTCGAGTTGTATTTATGTATTGAATCTAAATGTTTTGAGTGATCAGTTTAAGCAAATATATTTTTTCTTTGTCTTTTTTGTTGAAGTGAGCTTTATCTCACATTACATAACCATCTGAAAGTGTGCAACCCCACGGCACTCTATATTCACGCATCCTAGAACCACTCTCCTTTATTCGGTTCTGAAGCGTTTTGCACTCTGAGCTTCTACTGTGTTCTGCTCACCAAGACAAAAACTGAGAAAAGACTGGACACACTGGTTCTGAGATCAAGAAACCGAGAGGAAGAGAGACTTCCACAGCACAGTTATCTTTGCTTCCTGGTGGCCTTCGGATAGAGGAGACTGTAGAGTCTTGGAGCGCTGGATGGGAAAGCTACTCCAGGTTTGGTGACAATGATAGCAAAGGTTCAGCTGGTCACATCCAACTGGATCTTTGAAGACTGAAAAAAATTCATCCACTCCAAGGAGGGGGAGAGAAATATTCTTTCAGGTGGAGATCGCAGAGATAAAGTTTGTAATAGCTAAAACTTGGAAACAGCCCATTTGCCCAACACTTGGAGACTGGATAAAGAAGATGTGGTTTTTCTACAAAATGGAATACTACTCAGCCATAAAGAATGAGAAATTAGATTCATTCATAGAAAAATGGATACATATTGAGGATGTACTCCTGTGAAATAAGTCACATGTGTAAATACCAAATAGTTTCTCTGATGTGAATAAACTGTAATAGTACATAAGATCCTAATGATATAATGGACAATGTGAAATAGAATGAAAAGGGCTAAATGTGT